GCCCGCCCAGCCGCCCGCCCAGCCGCCCGCCCTCTCTCGCTCTCGCTCGGTGGGCGATTTGGTTGTTTTACGTCACCCATCCAGTCCCTACTCTCCCCCTCAATTCTTCCCACTCAACTCTTCCCAGCAAACCCATCTCCTGCAGCGAGCCCAATTCAAACATTGCTAATCAATATCGTACCTTCTACATGACGCCATCTTTCCAACCCCTTGCACTCAATCCCATGTGTCCACTCAATTTTTCGTGTTATCCCGTCAAATTCATGTCCCGCCCAACCCCATATCGTTTACCCAATCCAACCCCTCACATCCAATCGCATTCCACCAAACCCCATCCTACCTCTAATCCTAAAATTCCACGATAATACATTACTGTATCCCCTACCACTCCAATCAAACTTCACTCTGCAACTCCACCTTACTTCTCCCACTTAACCCCATCTCGGAGTGATAACATCACGACTCGTAGCCCTTCCTAGCCATTCGTTTCCTACCTACTTCATCGCATCTTCCACATCCCATCAGGCCACCGCCTTCCATTAATCACCACGTTCTGTGCTCTCTCCACAGCCACATCCCACCATCACCAACAGCATCCTGCTTAAAGTCTACTATCACAGCTCATTCCCACCACGCTGACCCGTCCTCCACGGCCTCTCAACCTCTCAAGCCACCCCAACCTAACTCTGCATCATAGCTCAGCCCCCACTCCATCCCATAGTCATCTCAACTATTTTGCTGTCTGGAGGTGGCGGGTCCTCGGCGCTAGTGTTAACATTTCAATCGCCGTTCTGCAACCTTCCTCTCAGCGAAATGCCAACTAGCATGAGGAACGCTGCAGAACGTTGACCGAAACATTGGCACAGTGACTAGGACGCGGCGCCTCCCAAAGAGCCAGGTAGTTACTGGCTCCGGAAGCCTACTCTCTCATACTCTATCGTTTCTAACCACTCTCAGCATGAACAATCCAAACTACCGCTTCCAATCTTTCTCTCAATCCCTCTCCAAAACATTTTTAACACTTCCGACCCATATATTCATCTTTATTTCATCAGCTTTTAATGCACCTGCATCTCAAGTGTAGCGATGACGTGTGACGTGATGTGGTGTTCCAGTACGGGGACACGGCGCTGCATACGAGCGCACGCTACGGGCACGCGGGCGTCACGCGTATCCTCATCAGCGCCAACTGCCGCGTCTCCGACCAGAACAAGGTGAGCCCCTTACACACTGTTTCCATACGAATTTTGTAGACGTTGTGTGCAACTCGTGACCATGGACGTGGGGTTGTTGAGAGGAGAACTGGGTTGAGTTCGCTAGAGAACGGACGCCTGACTGTAGGACTCTTGAATAGCCATGTGACATCAAATGGGTAGAATACAAATAGTAGTGACTGGGGAGAACAGTATAGTAGCAAAACATTGAGGAAGGAGATTCCCAAATGGAAACGGAGAAGGTAAAATTGCCGATTGATCTCTGATGACCGATTTGAACAATATACTTGTTTGGGTTTAAAACGTGAAGTGTTATGATTTAAATTACGTGAAGAGAAAGACCAACCAACAGCCACGTTTGGTGATTGGTACTACAACTTCAGCTGATACAGTTACTGGCGTTACAACCGGCCGCGGGAATTTCATGTTCATACGCTGTTGCGGGAACGTTAGGTTCAGAAGATTCGTAACACACACTCAGGCATTACCACGATGCTACGATTTCTTTTCAGGCATACATAGCGGGCTTCAGTTATTTCAGATTTTAGCTCTAATGCAAACGTGAAACCGATGCTCAAGTGTTCAAATAAATATGTGAATGCAACAGTGGTTTCCATATACTTTCACCGAATTATATACCAACATACTTTCGTCTGAGCGCATGAATAACTACTCGCAAAATAAAATATCACTTTTAACCCTCGTATCGTAAACAATTATTTTCGCAAGAGAAATAAATCATTACGATTTGGAACGACTATTGTAAGTTTGTTGTAAGCTTATTGTAAGTCCTTAACAAGACGTGTTAGGGATTTCCAGTTATTTTCCATCTGAAATTTATGAAGATTTGTTCTGCTGTGCGAAGCTGACTTTAAGAGCAGTTCAGAACGCCGCTAAGGCTAACAGAACTTTACAGAAAGACGAGGGTAGTGAGTAACCTTGCCAGCGTCTGTTCTAATTTCGCGCCTCACTGACCAAACGGCGCAGTTATTAAAGCTTTTTAGACACCAACCGGCGTCGTGGTGTCCCATGTTGAAAGCGTTTTCTAGAAGAAATTTAATTAAGGGTTTAAGACTTATAATCCACAAAAACTGAAAATGGATGCCGCTCGAAGGGTAGTTACAAAATAATGATTACTCGTGTTAGAATAGAATTCTGCAAGTAAGGCTTCTCAGAAAAATCTGATTCTTTAAACCCCAAAAAACTGATTTTGTCTCCCCCTCGAGAATATTTCATAAATTCGTCCATATTTCATCATTATTTTGCGCGTGACTAATAACCTAAAATTTGACTCATTTATTCTTCATACTTAGTGAATATGTACTAGTATGTATATATTAATTTAAAGAAACTAGGTTTAATATGACTATATAATACAAAATGTATTTGTAATGTCAATGAAGCGAAAGGTGAATGTAATCTAAATCTGGTATTAAGTTTCTTCAGAAGCTATTAATTTTGGCAAATTAATTTGCCATCAAAAATTTAATGATATTTATTTATTAACACATTGTTTGGTATAGCTTTCGCAGGGAATCTGGCTTCGCGATGAAATAGATTTAATTTTCGAATATTTCAAAACGGGTAATAATTGCATTTTTTATTTTTTTCTGCAGTACCGTGCGCTTGATATTACAGTGGTAACTAGTCTGTAATAGAGCATCAGCTGTCATGATAAGATGACTATAGAAATTGAAGAACTCACTATGCTTGAATAAATAAAATTACTTAATGAAATGGAAAACTGGAGGCAAACAGGGTGGGAAAGAGAAGGTGGAAAAATCGGAAATGTAACGTGTGTTATGTCTCCTTCACTGAGCATATCTCTTAATGTATTAAGTTCCACATGTTCAATACATGGTACTTGGAGACACTGAAGGTGGAATAAATTATTCCCGAATCACGTTTATGTCTGTTAATTCTTGATATAAAATTTATATTGTATTATACTTTGTGGTTGATACCTCCTCCATCCTTAGTCAACAATTATTTTTAAATACTAACGAAATCTACAGAAAAGGGATAATATTTTCGGAATCGCAGCACGTATACGCGAGGAAAGGAGGAGAGAGAAGTGTGTCCCCTGACGAGGAGAGCGCTGTGTTGCAGAACGGAGACACGGCGCTGCACATCGCCGCTGCTATGGGCCGGCGGAAGCTCACCCGCATCCTGCTGGAGGCTGGCTGCGACCGCTCGCTCAAGAACAAGGTAACCACCACCACCACACCCACCACCACCACCATCGCACACAGCTCCGCCACCACCACACCCACCTCC